CAAGACAAATAGCCAATTTTGGGATAAAAAGAAAAAAATACCGTATATACCCGCGTATAAGACGAGATATTTTGGACAAAAAAAAAGACTTCAAAGTGGGGGGTCGACTTATACGCGGGGCCATAAAAAATTAAAAGACACGGAAGTTCAAAAATTTCTTTATATAATGCAGTTGTTTTCTTCCCGCACTCAAATTGGACGACTTATCAAATAAGTCACTTACTTGAAGTAATTTCATGACTTAAATTATGTGACGAATTAATCACAGAGTTTCATACTTTAACTAGAGTAAGTTTCGATTAAACCAAAGAATTTTCGGTACCCGAACAACCGATCAATATAGAGCAATAAAAAAGTTTCGCCAACACGCCAAGAAAAGAGAAATGTAGATAGTCTTTACGTACGTATAAGTCTTTATAATAGTTATTGTTCATTCATGAAATACTTTTGTTAACAGGCGTACACGTCTAGTAGTGATTGTAACAATACAGAGTTCGAAACTTAAAATATGTATGATGACGACCCAATGACGACAGAAGAGTTCTATGAAATGTTTGGCGAATCTGACCATGAATCGGACGTTGAAGGATTTTGATTTTGTTTATTTACCAAGGTATTTTTTATCGTGTATTTACTTTTTTTTCTCAGATGATTTTGAATAAATGTAGTACTTAAATTTTTTTTTCTAAGTTTCTCGATCGATTTCGGAAGTGAGGGGCCGACTTATACGCGGGTTTCTTATTTTCTACGAATTTTTTATGTCGAAGTGGGGGGATCGACTTATACGCGGGTATATACGGTATGCAACGAATTTAGAGAATCCTGTTACTGTGAATACTGGTCCGGCTAATAATTAACATTGATAGAGATGGAAATTGCACTTATTGGTTTAAATTCGCTTAGTTTATTAATCAATAACTGACAGATTTAATTCGAAAGAAGAATTAAATATTTTACGCTTTGTGAATTAAGTGGTCATTAATTACCAAGTTAGGGAGATAGCCCTATCTCCGAAATGCTGCTGAAGCACTTGCTCAACATATGTAGTGACGTATGAGGGAGAGCACCATCTTGCATCCATACAATGACATTAACGACATTATTTCTAGAATTACGTAATTTTGCAACATTGTGGGTTACCGGGCACCTGTGATGGAGTACGTTTTCTTACGTATGGAAGTGACCTCTTCAAAGACGTGGGAACCGGAAACGAATGTGCTTGCGATGTCGCACCACACAGTCACTTTAGGTGGCGCTGGTGTAAAGGCCGTGAACATTTTTGTCAGCGCAGTGAATGTAGCTCTTGGAGTTTACATTTCCCAGTTAAGGAGAAATGTGCCTGTCCCGTCCATAACATCCACAGTGGCCACCTGCTGTCTTCAACATATCTGATGAGGAATGATGATGATCTGTTCTTTGCAAATGTTTTGCACCGGCAATTTTCCTCATACGTATATCATTCGAACGCCGTTCATGGTTTTCCAATGCGCTGGGAAAAAGTGGGTGCCACCATTCAAAAGATTTGACACTGGAATCGTAAGTGATGTATTGTTTTAATTATCACAATCTGGAGCGTATACCTTCAAAGAACAATATCTGAAATTTCATTTAGAATGTTTTAGCGGATAGGCCGTTAGAGGTTCATATATTGATATAAGTTATTTTTATGACTACCCTGTACATATTTACACAAATTTTTCATTACTAAATATTAGAAAAGATAACTAATTTGTGTATTATTAACCATATTATTAAATAGCTGGTATTCATAACTAAACTGAGATCACTCAGGGTCGTTTGTAGTTCTCGAATCGGCACCGATGTTAGAAGGAAGTTATTGAGACACGGTAAAGAAGTTTTTGCGAAAACAAAAAATTTAAAAAGTAGCCGATAGAGGGCTATATGGCGCTGCAGAATACAACGTAATATGAAAATGGAGGAAGAAATGAATAATCATGAAGCTTATAATAAATATTTTATCTGTACATTGTAGGTCTGTATTTTTATCTGTACATTGGGGGGAGCGGTAACACAGGAATGAATCATTTAATACATATGATAGTAATTCCGATATAGTATGTGTTATGTGCCCTTTCGGCCCACCAGCGGCCGAGCGGTAAAGTCGCTGAACACTGGTAGTTCGGTCCAAGGTTCGAATCCCGCGAACGGGCTGACTGCATGGGCGTTTTCATGGTTTTCCCCATTTGTAACGTGTATACGAGCCAGTTTCCCTTAGAAAGTCCTTCACAAAGGCATCCCTCCCCTTAGGCAGATAGCCCTTGAGGCTTTGCCATAATCACACACACACACCTTTCGGTGAGCCCTTTCGTCTGAGGGAATTAACAATTTCTGACATAATAACACTATTTGATTCGCTATTGAGGAAATTACAAACAATATTTTTCTCTTACTCGCGTTTCCTATGTCCCAGTGTCTTTCTACGTAATTGTGTGACGGTACAGTTATTAACTGTCACTGTAAACGGAGTTCTCTCAGTTTTAAGTATAATTAACTAGTACAATTTTTAAATATCATACACTTGGAAAACAACTAACATCTTTCCAACATCCTAAAATAAAATATTTTTGGTTTTAGTAATTTTTAGGCAGCTTATACTTAGTTTCGTACTCAAGCTGTTTTAATGTTTTCAAAACGTTTGGTCCAATAGATAAACCGTCTTATGTTTTGAAGATTTAAGCTGTAAAATTGAGGGAAAAGAAATACTGAAAGGCAGTGGTCTCAAACTCAAACTTCACACCGGCCACAGCTGACGGACTAGATTTCTTTTAAAAAAAAGTGCTTTTAATGAAATAAAAATTTGTGACTAAATTCAAAATTCTTTACTACACATTTGCCAAAACATCCGTAAATAATAAACACAATGACGAAAACAATTCAAGTTTATACTTATCTAATGGTTGGTATCTGCAAGAAATTTGTTTTGGTTGTCTTTGTAACTAAAACGTATTGACAGCTGCATAGTAAACTTTCAGACTGCCGTTTTCCAAAACATTCTAATGTATTGAATTAAATAGTAAATAACTTATTTAAAATAAATAGATAACGAAAACGTACCAAGAGAGGGAGAAAATTAAGAAATAAATAATGACAACCTATTCTCTTTCTTTATCTTAATACATCTTTCTTTGACGTATGCAGAACAAAATGCATACTTGAATGTAAATAATTAAAAACTTCATTATCTTTTGTTACAGATTTAAGCTACAATAGTTCATAGCGTTCTGATTTCGATAAAGTTTGTAACCTTGGTGAAACATTTTTAGAGACTATGTTCATCACGAATTATAAATGCTCATAAAACAGTCTGCTTCCTTTTTTAGAATTACTAATTTTCAGTTTCAAACAAAAAACGCTGTTGACATACAAATGTATTAAAAAGCAAAGTAATTATTCTTATTGTAAAAATTCTTAGCAAGGGGTATCTCGTTATGAATTTTTGCAAAGACATTTAAATTAATAATGTTAATAATAATGTTAATCTTTCGACAACATTAACATTATTATTAACGAAAAAAGTTTAATCAAATTTGCATCTTGAAATTTTTGAAAATAAAACTTATATCAGAGTATAAATTAATTAGCTCTATTTGTAGGTTTTTTTTGAGGCGTTACTCACATGCGTTTTTAAAAACAATGTAAAAGTGAACTCAAAATCATTAAAAGCATAAAGTTTCCCCATCAAATTCCTGTCATAATAATGTTAAGTAATTTACGATAAACGTATTCACCGACCCTGTAAAATTCTTTCGGGAGTTGCAAGTGGCGCTGGTGAACCGGCCAGTTTGAAACCTCTTTTACAGGTATTGTCATCTACATATTGAAACTATTGGTGATTTTATTAAAGTTTTTTACAGATCTAATGAAACGATAATTAGCAAATGTGTTAATCCAGAGGAAATTAGTTCTTCCTACGAAGTAAGAATACAGAATTGAAAATTGAAGTTTTGTATATGCGACTCCTGTAACATCTAGTCATGCATCTCCCTTTGTTTTGCAAATCATCCCAAAAACTCCAGAATCTTGAACTTTACGATTTTTTTTTCAGTTTTATATGATTTTCTTAAGCTTTTACAAGTCCTAAGCATAATCGAATGATTGTGCATGATTTATAAACTTAAACTATTTCCCTTTTCATGTTTATCTGAAAGCTCCTTGATTTTTAGTTGCTTCTTACAAGAAACTAATAAACTTCTAGAGTCATTAGGTTATTTGAAGCAAGAGACATGAAAAATGAGAAATGCCCTCGCTGGCAATGGAACTACGGACCTCTCGCATACGCGCCGAGCGTGTTGACCACTACACCATGAAGGCATGCTAAGAAGGCTGGAGAAATAACTTATATACTCCATTTTTTAAAGGGTGACTGGGGATTAGGGGAACCAGTCGCCAAATTTTGGTAATGGAGACTATCATCCACCACCCTTTTTAGTTCGGGCGCCACTGTAGAGGCATTAGGTATTTTTTGAAAGCAGGATATATAAAAAATGAACAATGCTGTCGCTGGGACTCGAACCATGGCCCTCTCAAATACGCGCCGAGTGTGCTGACCACTGCACCACGAAGGCATGCTAAGAAGACGGAAGAAATGCCTTAAAACTGTTTTATAATATTTATTTCTGTAGCGGGATCGAAAGATTTATTTTGAGTATTTGATATATCAGTTTCAAAATGGGCTGCTTTGAGAACTATTAACCATTAAAATCATAAAGTTTTCCATCAAATTTCTGCGATAAGAATGTTAATAATTATCCAATAATTATCAAGTACATTCTTTAAAGACTCTTTGTTCATTATAGAAGATTGTGTTATTCCTTTTTAATTTGTTCTGGATCTGGAGGTTTTGTTCTTGTTTGACATAAATATTAAAATATTGCATAGTAAAATGGAAACTTTAGTATAAATGCATTATATAAATATCTTTAGAGTGAAAATGCAGTAACTGCTTTGTGTGAAGTATTAATGTTATGCTTTTCTTTCAGGGTAAAGTGTACATATATGATAAAGTATTCAAGCCAAACGCAACGCAAGAGAAAGTTTATAATGAAGCGGCGCAAGCCATTGTCAAAGGTAATTATGTAGCTTCTAGTCTGGACGACGTATCTGATTTCTGTGAAACTAAATTAGATGTAAAGAAATTCTATCCTTTGAAACAAATTATCCAAAATTATAAAAAGTAGAAAATTTTTCTTCTTGGAAAAGTATTTCGATTCTAATTTTCTTTCATGTGTATTCACATAATGTAAGTATGCTAAGTGGGAAAATGTTATTCCAAATATTGTCGGAAAATAAATTTATTACTATTCTTACCATATTTCATAATTTTATGTTATTTTATTTATATTATAATTATGAGTGAATGATAAAAATTATTAGTAACTTCGAGAGATGTTTGATTAAAAATTACATTGTATAAAATTTATTCCAAATGTCCATTATCTGGAATTGTGATAATCGTTTTAGGAAAGTTTATAGTCAACTGATTTAGATGAACTGATTTTTATATATGTATGAGTTTTGCAAAAGTAATGAAAGGTTTTACAAGACAGTTAAAGCCATAGCGTTTTGAATAATGAGTTTTGTAAAGGCACTATTTTAGCATTGATTTCAAACATAGTCCAAGTAATATTTAAACATTATTTGCTTATATTAGCTACAAATTAGTTGCATTGCAGGATAAGCAGTTACAATTTTCTTCACTAAATGTATCTATTTGTATAAATATTAAAGCAGGTAAAATTATTTGTAAACAAATATGTATTCTCTTCAAAAACAATTCTATATGTGCTATATTCATATAATTGGTATGAGTATAACTGAATAGAGTGAGAGTAATTTTAACATAAAGCTCTGTAGAAGATTTTATATACTGCTAAATGCTGTATTATATAAAATTTATTTGGCAGTGAACTCTTATTACTTCTTAATAGTATTTTTATATTTTTACTCACAGAGAATTAGTTTTGAACTTAATACATATTTATAATAACATATACACAAGTGTGAGTATATTCATATTTATTCAGATATTTAATTCTTTACAAAACAAAAGTTAATAATTAGGCTTTTTTATCTCGAGAAATAATTCTGTATAAATACCTATATATTATATGTTTTACTTATATTTAACTATTAAAGTCTATGGAAGTTTATACAGCACTAAAAGTGAGATGCAGAATCAGAATATATACACTCATGTCCATAAATTAAGGATAATGCAAAATCAGGCAAAGAAAGAATTAGAAGCAAAACAAATTTCAATTATTTATAAAGCTTATTTATTAAACAAAAAGTAAAGAGCAAAAAAGGTACTATATGTTTGGTATTATTAAAAAAATTAGCGATTTTTTCTCCCTGGAGCAAATTACAAAAAAAAAAAAAACCTATTTACAAAAAACCAACATTACATGTTTGGTATGATTGTTAATACATTGTATGTCTCCCAGACGATGAAATACACTCCGTACAACGCCTACGCATGCTGAGTATCAAATTATCGATCTGATCTTGGGGTATTTTACACCACTCAAAAAGCAATGCTCTCCGAAGTTCCGGTAGACATGTAGGAGGAGATTGACGGGCTGCAACTCGTCGGCCAGGCATATCCCAAACGTGCTCAACTGGATTCAAGTCCGGTGAGAATGCTGGCCAGTCCATACGGGTGATATCCTCCGATTGAAGACATTCGCTTACGATGTTTGCACGGTGAGGACGGGCGTTGTCATCCATAAACACAAATTGTGCGCCCAGGGCGCCGCGAAACAAATGTACATGTTGTTCCAGAATGACGTCCCGATAGATTTGGCTTGTCATGCTTCCAATTTGAACATGCAGGTCAGTTCTGGAACCCAGAATACTTTCACTCCAAACGAGCACTCCTGCACCACCGTAACGGTGTCGTTCAATGATGTTTTCTAGGTGGTAACGGGTACCTGGAGCTCTCCATATGAACGTCCGGCAAGAAACAGACTGCAAGCTAAACCTGGACTCGTCGGAAAACATCACACAAGCCCACTGTTGCGATGTCCACAATGCATGCTCTCTACTCCAGGCTAACCGCAGGCGACAGGGAGTTTCAGTAAGTGGAACGCATCTGACAGGTCTACGAGCATATAGACCAATCTTCCGTAAGCATCTGTACACGGTCTGCCTTGAAATTGTCGTACCAGTGGCTGAAGAGAGCTTTGACGAGACAGGTCTCAGGCTGTGCTCCGCCTATTTCTTTTGGCAGTAACTGCCAAATACCTGTCCTCCTTCGGCGTTGTAACTCTGTGGCGACCTATGCTGTAACGTCTACTCACATTACCATCATCTTAGAATCGTTGCCAAAGCCTGGAGATGACACTCTGGGGCAATTCCAAGTTCGTCTGATACTTCCAGTAGGGTACGCCCACATTCCAGACGGCCGATAATTCTACCACGTAAAAAATCATCCAAATGCGTCCTTTGTGTCATAACTATTCGGTTATTGCACTGAAATGCTTATAAAGCGCCTGCGAACAGTTTTACTTCTTTGCCTGTATTCCTTATATATCACTCTCTTACACTCTCGTCATTGTGACGTACTATCGGTGTCATCTGGTTACTTCCTGAAATTTGCATATGATTCTTGAAGATGTGTGTAGTGATTTTACAGGTGATATATTTATTTTAGAGTTCGATTTACGCGTGACTCCGAATTATCCTTAATTTATGGACATGAGTGTATTTAACTTACAATAAGATATATCAGCAATTTCCGAACTGTGGCTTGAGAATCTGTGCTCGATGGGTTACATAAATTTTTGAAATTTCTAGGATCACAGTATCTATGTGTATATGAGTCACCATACACCATACAGGATATAGGCGTGTTGGAATCAGTGTTGACCTTTATGGGGGCTTGCAGGAATTCTTTTTTAAATTTCTAATTACGTCTCTGTTCGTTTTGCTTGCTCTATTATATTACATTTTAATTTAGTTTAATGTAAACTGTATTAAAACTTAATATATATTCTAATTTTTGTGTTCTTTGGCTGATTTCATTTTCTAAATTCTTTTTGTATCGAGGAAAACCTGAATGGGGAATGAAATCTTTAATCAGAACACCTTTATGATGAAAATAAAATAAACAGTTAAGTTATATATTATTGTGTAGATACACTAAATAATAAACGCTATAGTCTTTCTGAAAGCTGGGGTCTCATGTAATTTCATTTAGATTTGCTCAAATGCAATGTAGATAACTTAAAATTTAAGCAACCACTCAATAAATTTATTTTTAGGTATTTGTTATACAGCAAGCTTATATAAAGAAATACCAATGTTTAGGTTTCCATTGGAAAATATTGGTAAAAAAGTTTTTACTAAATAATTTTATTTTAACATATGCATCAGCGAGGTTTGAAATACGCATATTATTTTGGGCAATTTTTTCAGATAATTTGTGATTAAAATCATTTACGTATTTGTTAAAAATTTAAATTTGTTTAAATATATATATATATATATATAAAAGGTTATAATACTTATATATTATATTATATACTGCCGTAAAGGTTATAATACTGTATGACCAATTTAACGTTTTCTTCATGCATAATAATTTGAATGTACTTTAATTGAAACATTTAACTTGATATTTTGTTTTCATAAGGTAAAGAAAGTGTATAATCTTTGTTAAGTGTTTACATCAGTGGTTACAATTCCAAAATGTTTGGGAAGAGCTGAAATCTTCCTATTAATTTCATTTCCAAACTTTTCTGACAAGATTTTCGATAATTTATACAAATATTTTGTAATATGTTTGTACTGGCGTGCCTACAAAATGGCATAAGTATTTAAAATTCTATCAATTTCATTTAAAATTATTCTACACATCTCCCCCCTCTTCCCGATGTAGTTCTGTGCATTTTATCTGGGCTAATTTTGTACTTATACTGGTTATGAGGATTTAGCTTACAGGAATACAATAGTTTTTTGGTCTCATAATACTTATATAATGATTAGTTTTTTTACGGAAATTTTGTCTACAGTTCTGTTGGTTTTGTATACTGCTTTCTTCATGTGGATTCTGATTATGGATGCCCATATAATTCTATCGGTTTTGTTTACGAGGATTTAGCCTACAGGTATTCATGAATTTCTGTGGAGTTTTGCGTATTGGTTTTTATGAAGATTTAGGCTAAGTGTACTCGTGTAAGTCTACGGGCTTTTTCTACTATTTGTTTTACGGGGATTCGGCCTATGCATACACGTAATTACTTGTGCTGTTACTATATTTTTATTGGTCTTCAGCCGTAAAGGTTATAAATCTTTTACTTATCTGTATGGGGAATTTTTACCTGAGAATATCGAGTAATTTAGTATTTGTTGATTCACATTACAATTTTCATACAACAATTTAAAAGTTATCTCTCTAATCTCTTACAGGGTGGTCAAAATAAAACTGGCCTGGAAGCATGTTTTCGGAATTTCGAAGAAACGTACTCTAAACAACAAAGATATTATTCAAAGTTAGAAGAGACGTTGTTTGCTATTCAGCTTAATGCAACAAAAATGATGCTAACGATAAAAAAAGACATGTTCATTGAGTGTTAAACGAAGCATAATCCGTGAAAAATGTGTACTGCAAAAGAAGCTGCAAAATATGCTAAACATCTTAGCGACAAAGTGCACAAAACGGAATCTGTAGCGAAAAGGCTTTCATTAACAAGAGTAAACTTAATGCCAGAATTATACTCATTTTCTGGGAACGTTTTATTTTGCTAATTTAGTATTTTATGTTGTACTCAGGAAAGCTGAATATGTAGAGGTAGTTTCTATATCATCATCATGTCGCCTAGCTGGCATAGTGGTTAGTTACCTTGACTGCTGTAACGATGGGCCTGGGTTCGAATACCGGAGAAGGCATGGCTGTAACTGTCCATCCCTTCCTAGGAGGCAACGGTGACTTCCTATTAGGTGCTTCCATAATGAAATGGCCACCACTTCTGGCCCTAGTTGTGGCGCAGGGCTAATGGATGTAAAATAAAGCGCTCGGCCATTAAAAAAAGTTGCTGAATCATATCCAATTGTACGTAAATATTTCT